GTTGAAAGTGAGTAAGTGAGAGAGTGAACCATGAAAGTGAGGAAATGGAAGGCTCAAGTGAACGAGAAAACAATAATCAATGACAAGTTTGCTATCTCAATTGCGCTATCAATCGAAGAATCAACCATAGTCACTCAAATACTCCGGACAATCCACCATAGATTCGAGACTAATTTAATCAGATCCTAGGTAGAAGTCGCTACATTTTTCCCAAACAGACAACCCTACCCAAGACCACTCACTTGTCTCCCAATAGACAAATGTTTAATCATATTTCATGGGAACCTCATATCTTATCACTACGTGCAAGATTTTGAAGATCCCTCAACTCCTCGCTTCGAAGAACAAAATGTCAAAAGACATCAAGTGGGAGTTTGTTAGGATTTTCTTATGAAAGCCTTTTGATGGGTCCCAAGTGAGGTAAAAGTCTGGGGGGAGGGTGAATAAACTTTTAAATCTTTTCATTTTTCAACCTTTTTTCCTCTAACAAAATGAGTTCCAATATCTTTTTCAACCCTTTCAACGGTCAAGATTGCCTTCCGTTTTCAAAGAATTCCAGTTAACTCTTTTCGTACCTTTTCTTTTTTATTCTTTTTCTTTTTGTTTTTGGTACGTTTATTTTGTTTTAGTACTCTTTGCTTTTTATGAGTACTTTATCACTAATATAGGAGCACATTACAATAAACAAAAGTGGAACATAACAAGGATCTAGTCTAATACAGGGATAAATAAAAAGGGGTTTTGGCATCGTCAAAACTACATATAGATCATCAAAAACAGGGGACCTAACACCTTTCAAAAAAGACAAACGAAGTTGAGCTGCATTGAAGGAAAAGACAAAGAGGTGCAACTCATCCAATCTCTCTTCTACACTGCAGATCCAACAAAGAGACAAAGATAACCCATGTTTCATTGCAAGTTGAACACAAAGAGGAGATTGTTAGTACATTTTTATTGTGTGCAATTTAATTAATGTGTTAATTATATTAGTTAATTAGGTCCAACAAGATCTGAATCAATGCTCATTTTGTAATATAATATGTAGGTTAGTCCCTTACGTATAAAAGGTGGCTAACGAAGAAAAAAGAGGCTAAGGTATGTAAACATAGGTGAAGGAAATAATATGTAGAATAGAGTGTGGATCAATAAGAGAGTTAGAGAAGAGAGAGCCGCTGCTACATGCGATATCGTCTCTATTCGTGATGATATTTGTTGGGTTAATGGCCCAACCAGAGAGTCGGCCCATTACCCCCTTGAACAAAGAGCCCCAAAGTCAAACTAGGAAGAAGTATCAGACGCTCGTCGTCAGACCCCAAAGCCCACTAGGGGCGGTTATCCACAACAGCACAAGGCATCAGTGACGTACGTCTCTCGAAGAGGACGCACAACCTCAGGGGCCTTAGCCATCAAGGCTACCCAGTGCATTCTCGCAGGAGACGCTCGACTTCTTCCCCTTGTTCCACTGCCAGGAGAAGGACCAAGACCTAAGGGGACGCTCGTCCCGAAGATTGGAGGGAAACCAAGATTCTGGAAGGAAGCACATTTAATGCTAGAGATTTGGTGGTTGGGAGCCTAGCCATCCACAGCTCTCCACGTCAGCACACCTACCTATCCCTTGGTAGTATAAATAGTAGCATTTATTTCATTGTAAGGGGTTGACAACTTATTCTCCCTAGCACTCTAGCTTATAGCTTTTATTCTCGGCTCTTACTTAGCGAGAAAGACGATCGGCCTCAGGCCAGGTATCAATAGTGTGTTTGTATACGGACCCTTATTACCACTTAATAAGATACAACCCACTGCCAAAGAAGACAAACCCATTTACTTGCTTGCACTCCACATACCCTAACACTCTTCCACTCGAAATCCTTGGGTTACGTGTTGGCCCCCCGGATTGAAAGAATAAACCTCAACAATATTATACGGTTGTTGTAAAATCTAGGTTTTAACATGGTCGAGTATTGTTAGCTAAATACATTAAGCTCTAATAGCACTCAGGTATGCTACTCTGGGATTGGGTATTTTTTCATTATCTTCCATAGCTCGAATGTAAATGCTAAGTGGCAGTTGTCTTGTTGATCTTGAACTTCTGATATCGAATTCAGATTTGGGCCATGTTAATGCACCGAAATTGACCCTGACCTCGGATCAGCCTCAAGGATAGTTTTGGGCTTATCTCAATTATACGAGAATCGGTTATGGGCTCAGACTCGGGCTCGTGTGGAGTTGCCTTATTTAATCATGGGGGGCCTTTATGTATGATCGATACCCCTAAGGTATATGACAATGACAACACTAAAATCATTGTTTGTTTCTTGAAAATGTACAAATATACCCTTGTAGTATGAGTATGAGAACAAATATACCCCTTTGTATGATTGTGAGAACAAATATACCCCTGTTCTATTTTTGGAGCAAATATACCCTGAATTATGTATTGAAGTGCATAAATAACCCTAAACTTTTAAAAGGTAAATACCCCACATGTTCTTATCAAGAAGCAAATTTACCCTTATTGACTTTAAATAGATAAAATAAATTTAAAAAAACTCCAAAAATAAATTTTAAATTTAATAATAAAGATTTATTATTATGTAAAAATATTAACTCTTTATTTTTAAATTGCAAAATATTATTTTTTTCAGTTGTAAATGAAGCACTTCAAATTCATGAATACTCGTATTAGGTTTAGTCTTGTTATCTGTTATGTGAGAGAAAAAACCTAAAACCTAACGGCCGTCTCCTCTCTTTGTAGGGGTTCGGATTTTCCGCCGCCTCAATCAATATGGGGCTGAAGCGGCATATTATATTGATTTTAAGTGTTCTAACGCTTGGGACTGCAGTTACGCCGGGGGAGATAACGTTAGCAGATGAACAGTTTGTGGCTGTGAGTTTTGTATCGGTGCTAGATCGTGCAGCCTTGGCCGGCCGCACCGACGGTGGTGGAGTTAGTATTCACCCATATTGCAAGAGTTCGTCCTCCCCATGAACCACCTCCATATTAGGAAGAGTTTTGTGGCAAGATTTTATTTCAATACGGAGTATTATTTTCTCTTTAGTAGTACTTGTTTTTGTTTTAATCCGAATAGATTTGATTTGGATGTTTGGATTTTTGGAGTTCTTTTGATAAGCATGGTTTCAGATCCAGTCGTTTTAGCCTTAAATTTGCCCGTTTCAGGTTTAGCGAATCAGATTGCTTTGTCTGAAGATTGTCTTATATGTGTTCTCGATTTTAATATAAAAGGCGCCCTTTTATGATAAAAAAGTTTAGTCTTGTTGTGAAAATTTGAACACATTGTTACATTTTTTGAAACAACATTTTATGATTTTGTTTAGCCTTATAATAAAACTAAATTCACTATTTTGTAATCATCCTCATCATTACCCTAATGCCGCCAAGGCTCCCACCAAAGGTGGGGTAAGGAGGGTCGGGTGTACGCCTCCTTATCCCTGTACTAAAGCACAAAGAGGTTGTTTCCGGATGATTTATAGTGAAAATCACATCGAAAAATTACATGGACCGACTGCTACTTCATAACAATTATTTACTAATAATATTAGTTTGCCTTCCGGGGTAAAATAAATAAATATACTAACAATATTAAATTGTGATATAAAAACAATAAAAGGGAGAATTGGACACAAGTACATTTTTTTTTATTTCGAATTTATAATTCATTTTTTTGTGTTTTATGAAATTTATTTTATCACAACAGTTTAAGGATCGAAAGTGTCAATTTTGTGAAGGGAAATGTACGAATATACCCCTGTAGTATGTGTGTGAGAACAAATATACCCCTATAGTATGTGTGTGAGAACTAAAAGTGATAATACTCAGAAGATTAAACGTGAGAAACTTTAAAATCGAGAATTAAAAGTATATTCAACATAATAATCGAGAATTAAAAATGAAAAAATTAAAGATTGAATATCAAAAACTTCATACACACAATACTCCAGGGACAAAGGTAATAAAACACAATCTCCGCCCTGGTGAAATTTCATGGAATTCAGGAATACTTTGGTCCTTGATGTATGCCCAGGGACGGATCCAGGATTTCGAGTCAAGGGGGGCGAATTTTTTTCGTTAGTGTATGAGGCGAAAAAAATTTGGCTAGTGTAGCGGGGCAATTTTTTTTGCTAGTGTAGGACTCTGTGATTAATTTTTGTTCAAAAAAAATCAATTAGTAAATACACTGTGACATTTAAATTTATTATATTACATTCTAATTTTAGACAATGAATTTTTTTTTCTTAATAATGGTTAGTGCTCTAGAAAATTATTTGAAAAGAAGAAAGGATATAACATTTTATCAAATTATTTTAAGATAAAGAGTTTAAAAGGTACACAAGGACCGATGTTTTTTAAATAATTTTTGCTTTGTTTAACTACATGAATTTTATCAGAATAAAGAATCGATTTTTGAATTGCAAATTTTGTCTACGAAGGAGGGTATTCATGGATCACGAGGTGTTTTCTTAGCATTACAATAGTATGTATGAGATTATTAGTTTTAGAATAATATGATACGTAGTATTGTTAATTCATGTATACATGGTGCATATTATATCTGTATTAATGCTAAAATAAGTTAAAGTTTATTATCTATGCAACAAATTGTTTTTACAAAGTAAAAGGTAAATTGATTGTATAATTTAGTGTCAACAAACATTTATATTTTGGATTCACTTTACATCATCTAAAAACTGTTTAACTATTGTGTCTGATATTTAATATCATTGATATTTTACAAAATCGATTACTAATTATCCAATAAAGATAATTAAACATGACAAAACTATTTTTTTAATACAACATGTATCCCAAGTCTTAAACAATGAGTTATTCTATTGTGTATTTGTTTAAATTATGTAAATTATTTTAGATTTTACTTCTTTTAAATTTCCAATTAAAAATTACATTATGTGAGCTTATATATTAATTTTGAAAACTAAAAGATAAAAGGGCGAAAACATATACAGAGTATATCTAACTAATGTATGAAAATATTAGTTAGACTGGCCACAATGGAAACGACTGGAAACGACTGTTTTGGTATACCAAATGTACTCATATGCAATCCGTATTTTAGTATCGGAATTCGTATTCCCTAATTCCCCATATCCGAACGGATACAACCTTCCCTGCAACGGAGCAGCGTGACGAAACAATGGCCAACGCAAGTGAAGTTAAGCTCGAACAGTTTCTCCAGTGGCTACAGGTATACCAGGACTTGCACAGAGTATTCATTCTCTGAAATGTTTATTACGTTGTCATTTAAAATATACAAACTTATATGAAACAATCCGTGGCTGGACTTCAACTTTATTTCAGCTGAATAACGTCGAGCTGCGAGGTAGCAGTATCAAGTACAGCAATTCGAACAAAGGGTTTGGGATTTTTTCTTCTAATGATGTCTGTGATGGTAATCTCAGAGTAACTTTCTCAATGCGAGTTTTATTGAATAACAACTATTGAATCTCAACCAGTTTCAAGTCCTTAGCCTGGCTGTTAGAATTTTTAAAAACTCATCGAAAAGGGAGAAATGAATATTTTGAGCATTGTAATGTGAGCCTAGCAAAACGAGTCAATGAACTGTGACGGTTGTGACCTGAGAATGATGATTCTGGTCTGTGAAAGTGATGACGTTTTCATGTTTCAAAACGTTAGTATCAAAATTGTTTGGGACCAGTTAACCTGAATTGACACATGAAATGGATAAAATGTTTAGAAAAATAAGAAAGATAAAAAGATAAACATAAGATAAAGATAAGGGAAAAGGGGCAAATAAGCCCTCGAACTAATAAAAAAAGTGCAAATAAGCTCTTTTGTAGGAGGTTCTGACTGATCATCGTCATTTGGGGAGGTTCTCGGTGGAATTTTTTGATGAATTTTTTTGAGCATCTTCTTCATCAAGTCTAGTTTAGCCATACCAAATTTCAGCTAAAAATTAAACCGGGAAGACACTCAAATGATTTTCGAAAATATACTGTGTTGTTTAACTGCGCAGTTATCTTCAAAAATTCAATTGACTGTCTTCCCGATTGAATTTTTAGCTGAAATTCAGTATGACTAAACTAGACTTAATGAATAAGATGCTCAAGAATTTTCATCAAGAAATTCCACCAGGAACCTCCCCAAGTTACGATGGTCAGACGGAACCTCCTATAAAAGGGCTTATTTGCACTTTTTTTATTAGTTCGAGGGCTCATTTGCCCCTTTTCCCTAAAGATAAAAATGATAAAAATACTCCGTATAATATTAAAAAGGTAAAAGGATAAAGAACATAAGAAAGATAAAGAAGATAAAAGGATAAAAAGATGGAAAGATATCAATCTTCAACACGATACAATGATAAAAAAGTTGAAAAGATAAAAATAATACAAGTAGTATCTTGCTATTATGGAAAATTACTATTAACCGAGGTATATTCAAAAGTCAATTAATCACTCCTTGAGTTTTGTTTATTCTTACGGTTAACCCTTCTGTCAATATTAATCTCATTTAACTTCACATAATTGTCAAATCTAATGAAATTCTCTATGCTTAGAAAAGTCAAAATAATGCATTATCATGATTATAAGCCATATATATATTGCTTGTTATTTCTTCTTTACTAATCATGGAAGAAGTATGATTAGAGAGTTGAGGTGGATGAATAACAAATAAGACTTATATTGATGTCTTGATGAGGGAGAACTGTTTAGAATTTTAGAGCAAATGCTATGAAAATCCTTATTAATGTATCTCATAAGTATAAGTATTACTCTTGATTCATCTATCTCAACTGCTCTCAATAACATTTCTTCGACGAGTAGCTAAGAAGAAGAAATAATAATATTGTATTCTCTCCATCCCATTGGACATTGCCTACTTTGATTTGGGTGTGAAATTAGAAAAGTGAAAATTATGTGGTTGAAATTTGTGCAGAAGAGAGAGAAATAAAAAGAAGCACAAATTCATTACTTTAAAAAGAAAGTGACAAAGTTTTTGGGACAAACAAAAAATGAAAGTTGACAAAGTTCAATGGGATGGCGGGGGTAGCTAGTAATTATGATGATGGCTTGCTTTGACTTTTAAAAGTATATATTGTACACAACCTTTATTGAAGTTTAGAGTCAAAATTTAGAGCCTGCTTGGTAACACGTGTTTCGTCTTATCAACCTTATTTGCCAACTTTTTTTATTAAACACATAACTTTTGATTTTGTGCGCTGAATTGTGTACTAATCAAAATAAGTAAAGTCAGAGTTTCTTTTCTGATCGAATTGACTGAGTTTGTTGCTTAAGAATATTTTAGCTATTATTTTCAAATAACTCTTCCTCTATTTTATTAATAAAATATTTTCATAATTCAGTATATTCAGCTGCTTTAGCCAAAATTTCACTAATTTCAGCCAATGTTAGTGTTACCAAACTGGCTCTTAGTTAAATAACTATTGGCATTTGGGGAAAATAGGAAGAATAATTAAAACTCAAGGGGTAAATAATTGACTTTTAAAAATGCTGGAACTAGTAATTATGACTAAACCTTAATGGTTAATAGTAAATTTCCCTTAAATTTTATCACTTTGCAAACATTTATCCGGTGGAATATGAGGAAGGCCTCATTGACATTATCATCACCATTTTCATTTACCCCAGTGCCGCAAAGGCTCCCACCTACAATGGGGTAAGTGGGGTCGGATGTACTCAGTCTTGCCCCTGTACTAAAGCACAAAGAGATTGTTTCTGGATGACCCATAGTGAAAATCACGTCCAAACTTGCATGGACTGACTGCTGCTTCATAACAAAGAAGCGCAGACAGTTTAGTGAGCCATTTTGCTTTATTCCATCATATTCTCAAGCCAAAAAATATTGAATCTTTGGCTCCATTGCAAATGATGGAAATGCCTCATTGACATTATAAAAAATTAAAATTGATTTTTTAAAATTTTTAGTGTTAATATTTCTGGGTTTAAAAAAGTCTATTTTATCCCTATTATTTATTTTTTATTTGATATTTTTATTCCTTTTATCTATCTTATGTTCTTTATCTTTTCATCCTTTTTATGTTATCTTTATCCTATTTTTTTATATTTTTGATTTTAATATTCATATCATATCTTTTTTGGGCGGTGAAACAATGTCACATTCAAATGATGATGAGTGTGGAAGAGATGTGCATGATGCGTTGGATGTGTGGATATACCAGAAAAGACTGATTGATGAATGAGACAATCTGACAAAAGGTGGGAGTAACACATATTGAAGATAAGATGCGGGAGTCTCGCTTGCAGTAGTTTGGTCATATGCGTAGAAATCCGAGTGATGCACCTGTCAGACGAGTTGAGAGGTGTGTAGAAGAGGCAGCGAAGAGAGGGAGAAGAAGACCCAAACAGACGTGGATTAGAAGAGTCAGGTGTTTTTTTATCCTTTTATCATTATATATATATATATATATATATATATATATATTCTTTTTATCCTTTTATTCTATCATTTTTATGTATATCTTATCTCTTTATATATATATATATAATCATAACTTATCTTTTTATCGTTCTTATCTTTCTTTTCCTTTTGGTTTTGATATGATGTATCCATTCATGTTAGCCGAACCCAAAATCTTTTCAGACTAAAGCTTGAATGTTGTTGTATTACATCTTTTTTTATCTTAGTTTTTAGCCCCGATTTTTATATGTCAATTCAGGTTAGCCGACCCCAAACTCTTTTGGGTCTAAGGCTTGGATGTTGTTCTTGTTGTTGTTGAAAATTTCAGGTATACTGCTGGTGGTCCCACTTGATTTAAGTATAACGCCTATGAGGGTGCTTCAAGATCCTCTTTTTGGACCTCACTGTCGAGCCATGTTCGAGGAAGAGGAAGTAGATGACAGGTTCTTGTTGATTTTGTTTCTAATGGTGGAACGTCTAAGGAAGAACTCATCTTGGAAACCGTATGAAAAGCTAAATAATTTTAATATTTGCTCTGTAACTTTGTTTCTCCTAAAAAATGATAGTAATGGTGTATGCTATCATTCTAGGTATTTTGATATTCTTCCCACCAAATTCGGGAACCCACTATGGTTTTCAGATGATGAGCTTTCAGAGCTGAAGGGAACCACATTGTATCAGGCAACTGATTTGCAGGTATTGTCTCTTAACATATGATGCCATGATGATGCTAAGGATTGTATTAGGTAGTTGTGATTAGAGGCACCCAAGTTCCAACAGTGAAGCCTGTTGTTAATGGCTCACACTACGTTTTACAATTATTCAGTAAAAGACATGTACCGCTTTAACCAATTAAGTGTGATTGCAAGCTAACATATGAGGCAGATCATAAATGACTGAATGCATGCTTCCATGTTCCAGAAGCAAAAACTGCATCATCTTTTTTATGGGAAAATGAAGAAGTTGGCTGAGGAACTTTTAACTCTTGATGGATGCCCTGAAAGGTATGTGCAGTTACTCTATGATCACTATTCACCACCACCGAAGGGATGATAAGTCATTTTGTCCTACGCAGATTTTGTTATGACATTTCTTTCAACAAGTTCTTTGAATATCTTTAATTTCTTCTTAACTTTTGGCAGTGAAGTGGGCTTTGATGACTTGTTATGGTACATTTCTTTATGAATGCTGCTTTCTAGCCTTTGGCTAATTTTGACATTTACTTTTCCATGTATTATAATGCTCAAATATTATCACGAGACAAACAGCTTATGTTGCAAAGACTGTATCTATCTCAGGGCAAATTCCATATTTTGGAGTAGAGCACAAAATATACCTCTTCCACATTCCTATGTATTTCCAAAAAGTTCAGAAGGAAAAGGTAGACCAATTTCATGAAAATAATGAGATTCTGAGACATCATATTAATCATTTTTGTAGTGACAAATTGGATGACAAATAATATGAACAGAGTGATGTAATACTCCACTACATTTCCTGTTCATGCTGCTGAGAACAACTTCTCTCTTTAGTAAATTGATAATTTGATTTCTCGCTTTACTAAGTAATACTTTTTCTCAGAACTTGAGTCTGCTGAAAAAAATGGAACTGCTATTGCATCTGAATCAGTAGAAGATACAGTGTGGGTAGAAGGTCTTGTCCCTGGCATTGATTTCTGCAATCATGGTAAGTTGCAGTTATTGTTGCTGATAAGAAGTGATGGCTACCATAATTCTTTTGCATATCATAGTGGGATTTTGTCATGTTTTTATACTTGTTGAATTGACTTAATTAATTATAGTGTAACCCTTAAGTAACGAATAACTAAATTCAGGTGTAAATGTTCAACGTTACACTTAAAAAAAGTTCTTCACTATACTTAGGAGTTACACTATTTTGTAAGAGTTGAACATTTATACCCATATCGTCAATTCAGCCAATTTTCTTGATGATCTGGAATGACCCAAAATACCGTTGTGATAATTTTGCTGATGCCCGTTTGGTTACGCTGAATTGACAATATGGGTGCAGGCGAAGCCAAACCCACTATCCCTCGTTGAGCACAACGTCTCGGTGGTTATTGTCATGCACATGACGCATTCTTTCTTGAGCACGTATGAGGTGATCTCAAGCAACACTCAAGATTCTATCTCTGTCCTTCAAAGCAATGGCTACTGCTTCTGTTTTGGATGATCCTGGTTCCTAGGATATAAGCCTTGGCGGTTCGCGCCAATAGACGACCTTGAAGGGGGAAGTACCCAAAGCCGAATGGAGAGAGGTGTTATAGTAGAACTCAGCCCGTGCAGCCAGTCTACCCACTGGAGAGAGGTGTTATAGTAGAACTCAGCCCATGGCAGCGAGACTGCCCACTTGCGTGGGTGATCTCCTACCATACATCTGAGATATATTTTCAATGTGCGATTAACGACTTCTGTTTGACCGCCCGTTTGTGGGTGATAAGATGAAGAAAATGTCAAGTGTGTGCCACATAACTTAAAGAGTTCCTTTCAGAATAATTTAAACATATTAGAGAAAGAATAATGAACCTCTGACGCTGCTGTGTAGAGATGTGACAATGCTATAAAGTGAGCGTATTTGGAGAATTGATCCGCCACTACACAGATAACTGATTTACCTCCGACCTTGGGTAGCCCATGAATAAAATCCATTGAAATATCAGTCCATATACGTTCAGGGATTGGTAGGACCGTAGGAGTTGTAGTAAACCTGCTGGGTGCAAGTTTTCCCATTTAATTTTTTGGCAAATGGCAATATTGGTGATGAAATCCTGTACAAAAGATGTCATGCCTTTCCAATAGAATTCCCTTTTTATGTGATGCAGTCTTTTGAATCCTTTCACGAGTAGCATTATGAATTGTTGCGAGGATGATAGGGATATAATTAGAGTCTGTCAGCACATATTTTGGACTTGAAATAAACCACGCCATCATGGACTGTCCAATTAGAATTTTCCCCTTGTGCTGCTTTGTTGAAAACAATCTGGCCTTCCTTGGAGTGCTGATAGTGCTTCCTTAAACCCTCCATTAACTGGGCGTGAACCATGGTAACTGCCATGAGGGTTGCTAGATTTGCATCCCTCCGTGATAGAGCATCTGCCTCTTTTTTCAATTTTATAGGTTTGTACTCGACTTCAAAATCAAAACCCAAGAGCTAACTCATCCAATGTTGTTGCGGTGAGGTTGTAAGACGCTGTAATAAGTAATTTAGGCTGTAATGATCAGTTTGAGTCACGAAAGGGCGACCCAAAGATAGTGCCTCCAGTTTCATATTGCTTGGACTAAGCCTATCCGTTTCCACTCATATGCCGACAACTTAAGGTGGCGGTCCACGAGCTTCTTGCTGAAGAAGGCAATGGGGTCGTTTTCTTGATAAGTTGTTATAGAACTGCTCCAATACCCACCCCTGATGCATCACTTTCAATTAAGAATGGCTTGGAAAAGTTGGTAATTGCAATACTGGTGCATTGGACAAGGGAGTTTTGAGCTTGCCAAACGATATTTGACCATGAAAATGCATTGCGACGAAGGAGTGAAGTTAAAGGTGCTGGAAGCAAACCAAAGTTTGGGATAAAATGCCGCTAAAAGCCAGCTAGGACAAGGAATCCGTGAAGAGCAGGGGTTGTGACTGGTACATGACAATGAATGATCGCTTGAATTTTTGAATTATCTACCGCCACCCCATTTCCAGTAATCACATGTCCGAGATAAGCTACCTTTAGCACGCCGAAAACACGCTTCTGCCTTTTTAGGAACAATTGATGAGTTTGGAGTAATCCAAACACAATTCTAATGTGTTGTAGATGCTCCACCCAAGCGTGACTGTAGATTAATACATCGTCAAAAAAGGCCAAGACAAATTTACGAAGATGGGGCCCGAATCCCTCACTCATAATTGCTTGGAAGGTGGACGGTGTGTTGCATAAGCCAAATGGCATTACAAGGAATTTCAAATATCCATTGTAGGGGCAAAATGTTGTCTTTTCAACATCTTTTAGGCTCATGCATCTTTGATGGTACCTTGAGCACAAGTCAAGCTGTGTGAAGAACTGTGATCCTTGAAGTTCATCTAATAGCTCATCAATCACTAGAGTGGGAAATTTATCCTTAATGGTTTGTGCATTGAGTTCCCGATAATCTACACAAAAGCGCCACGAGTTGTCACTTTTTGTAATCAGGAGTAATGGAGATGAAAACGGGTTTCGACTTGGCTGAATTTGTCCTCTTGCCAGCATGCCCAAACACTGCTTCTCTATTTCATCCTTTTGCAATGATCACAATTGTGTGTTGGAGACCCATAGAATCAGAAAAAATGGTGTCAAAGTAATTCAGAAGCTCCTCCATTGCTTGATCATTAGAAATATCAGATTGCATATACTACAAACTACAAAGTAGTGCCAAGTGGAGCTGCATCTCCTGTCCAAGTAATGGTTCTTCCCTGTATTGTAAAGGTGACCCTTGCTCCCTAAAATTACACATGAGATCACCCAATTCCTCCAACCAGTTTATCCCAAGGATAAAATCAAACCCCGTTATTGGTAAGACAAAAAGATTAATCAAGAATGTGGCACCAGCCTTACCAAGTCTCACTGGCTCTCACACACCTGTGTTGAGTAGCTTTTCTCTATTAGCCACTGCTACACGAAAATCCCGGCGAGGTGTGATTGGTAACCCGAGTGAGAGGGCAGTTTGGGAATTGTAGAAATTATGGGTGTTCCCTGAATCAATTATTGCAACAACATAACTACCGGCCAATTGGACTTGCACTTGAAGCGTGTTGGGGGTGATGAAGTCCAGCCATGGCTTAAAGGGAAACGATGGGCTCTGACTTTCAAACCCTTCCTCCTCGTCATCATTCATCCAAAGGCAGAATAGTCATTTGCATCTATGCCCCGATACATATGTTTCATCACAGTTGTAACAAAGTCCCTTGGCTCGCCGCTCTGCTGCTTCAGCTTTGGACAACCTCTTCATGTATGGGTTGGTGGGGGGCTGACCGAGTTATTGAGGGTCCTGCCATTGGTGTCGGGTAGTGCACTGTCTTGGGATGCGGCCGTAAAGTTCTGGGATGAGCAGAAGTCCAAAGCTGCAACTTTCTCGCGAATAGTCTTGCATCACTCAACGCCATGGTCAGATTCAATGGTTTTTTATATTCCACATCTATGCCCAAATGCGCAATACCTCATCTAACCCAGCTGTGAAAATAGAAACTTGGTATTCCATACAAAGTGGTGGAACACGTGCTAGGTTGTTCTGAAACTGTGTGATGTACTCCTCAATTGGAGTATTGGACGGCCTTGTTGTTTTAGATTTTTCAAATCCTCTAATGGATTTGCACCACCAGGATGATATGGGGCTGGTCTTTTGGAGTAACCTCGAAAAGATTCCTAAGAGATATGGGGCTGGTCTTGGCATAGATGGTGATACCACAACTGAGCATCTCTAATGAGATAGTTAGCAGCCATAGTGACTCGTTTTTCAGCGCGAATGTTATGCTTCATGAAGAATAACTCGCAACGATAAACCCAGCTGAGTGGATCTTCCGTGCCGGAGAAAAGGGGAAACTCAAAATGTGATTTATAAGTAGTAGCCATGTGATTCATATTGTCGGGTGCATGTTGCAGTTTTACCTCCGTCTGCAAGTAATTTTTTCATCATCTGTTCAAGGCGGTCTATGGATTCTTTCGGATTGGAGACATCTTCCTTTGATGCAAACAACACATCGCCCATGACGCCGGCAACGGAACCAATGTTACAGGCAACTTGTGTGCAAGATCTCGTCACATGCCTTTGGGTTAGTGGGAGGGTAGACTAAGCTTTGGAAGGGTTGACATGTTTACTGTTTGGCAGAAAACTAGGAAGAATATAATTATGCAAACTTTTATCACAAGTTTTTTTTTTTTTTTGAGAATTCCACAAACTCCCTTAGACTTCTTGCTGAAAATTTGCATACCTTTTTCCTGCATTCAACTGGCCCTTAAATAGGCTTTAAAGAGTTTGGAAAATAAAATAAAGAAAACAAGTAAAAAGAAAACAACAATTCAAAGATTGCAATCAAAGAATAATATCTCAGATCTTTAAAGATCTCAAATCCCTGACCGTGACTTGTTTATCAGATTTGTCTGAATTATTTGTGTCCCAGATTTCTTTTATACTGACAGCCCTATGAATGCATCATAATCATACTTAGGTGCAAGGCCCACTGCAACATGGGAAGTTGATGCAACAGGAATGACAGCTGGTGTTCCTTTCTCTATGTACCTTTCTTCAGGTATGATCTTTTTATCTTTAATTTTATGGTATCATCTTTTTAATCTGATACCATATAATTAATGAATTTAAGTAAATTGTTGAAGTACTTCTATTTCCTTTTGCTGATCTTATCTTTCTTCATTATAACTATTTTCTGCTCAATTCCAAAGTTGGAGAAGGTCCCTTCAAGAGTCATAATGAGGTATTAATTAGCTACGGAAACAAGGGAAATGAGGTACATTCTTCTGAATTGTGGTAGGTTACTGTTGGATTAATATAGAGATGCTTATGAATGACCTCCTCCAACAGAGCTTTATCAGTAATGTGTTAGGAACTATCATAGCAACTATTGACCATTAAACTTGATCTCAATCAGCAATGTGGTTACATTTCTTTGTTATGAAGCCCTCATGGTTGATTTTGATAAATGTATGGGTTTTGAGGTGGAGCAAAAAACTTTGATTAGATGGGTCGAAATTTTAGTGAAATGTTCTTTGTACACCCTCAAATCACACCATATTATGTGAGAGATTTCATTTCCCATTTGTTCAATATTGGTGATTTCGTTTTGAGACTACAACCATGGGCTCAGGCTGAGTTGAGACAGCAGAGTTTCAAAGACCAACCTGCCTGGTGCTATCAATATACCGGGGTATTGGTCGATACAAGGTCACTAATGTTCCGACCATGAAAGGTGATGTACAAGAAAGATTTCAAGAGCAAGACCACTGGTAAGGACAAGTTTAAAAAGACAACATCTTCGATAAAACCATCCTCGGTCTAGTAGGACAAAGGATTCATATTCCAAAAGTGGCCAACCATCTCAGGGTGTGGGGAACTGGGGACGACTGTCTCCAAAGAAATTCTTTAAAAGTGTCAAACCTCTTACCATGAATGAAGCAAGCGCCAAGTGGCCTAAACAATCATTACCTATGAAGCATACACTTTAGTGATACATCAGGGACACACTTAAAAAATATGAGGACACATGGGGGAAAATTTGGGGACGTATCGGGGGACACATTCGTGTCTTTTTATACAAATGGGAAAATTACTATTACCCCATTGAGGTTATGTTATAATTACTAATGCAACCTTGCATTTTTAAAAAAATCAATCAGTTGCCCCTGAGTTTTGACCATTCTCACTATTTGCCCACTCACGTTAATATATGTTAAATTAAATTTCATATCTCTCAAATTCAATGAAAGTTGTCTACAATATCTACTTTTAAAAGTAAACAACAATTCATTATCATAATTATATATCATATTGAATGAGTATAGTTGAAGTAGAACACTCGTGAGAAAGAACGTTTTTAATTGGACTGAAATCTTCTGTGTGATGATATATAGATTATCTTGACTTATTAGTGTATGCTCCCTATGTTCCTTATAACTTTGACAAACATGACTGATACGTAGAATAATAAAGTTAAAACTGTATAGTGTAAATTTGTGCAGAGGTGAGAGAATTAACAAGAATCACTATTTCTTTATTTTAAAGGGAAAATGACAAAGTTAGTGAGACAATAAAAAAAGAAAAGTTGACGAAGTTATAAAGGATGGATGGAGTATATTTTAGAAAACTTTCATAGATTTAACAATATAAGAAGTCAAATATGATTAATATTAGCTTGAAGGGTAAATAGTGTGAATAATCAAAATTTGAGGGGTGAATAATTGATTTCTAAAAGTGCAAGGTAGGATTAGTGATTTTGACCTAACCGTAGGGGGTAATACTAATTACGCCTATATAAATCTCAAACTAATGGACCAAATAATTAAAATATACCACATGAAAGCTCTTATGTCATCTCACAGCCTGTGCATTTAATCTATCAGCCTTTCTTGTTTCAGTCTCCCCTAAATTTTGCCCAGTCAAGTTTGGAAGTATTGTTAAAGAACCAATATGAGCTTTTTTATAGCTACCTCTGATGTATTTGTGCCATTCATGTTTTGGTGCCTCTTCTTTCTCAGTGTCAGTATGGTTTGTTCTGGTAGTAGAGTTTAGTTTCAGGTCTAACAGCAGTGTTTCAAGGGGTGCAGAAAAAATACAGAGAAGAATGCAAAATTCTGACTGCAGAAATGGAGAAGAAAAATCATTTTTCATGAGTGCGCAATGCAATTACGCCTCAAGGCGCACCTTGTCGATATTTCCTTGAACTGCATTACAATAAGGCAAACACAATGAGGTGTAGGCAATGTTTTTTCACGGTTCAGTGAAATTGTTTAGGCCCACTTAAAATACAAAGCCGACTTATTTTGAAAAACTTACCCTGCGACAGACAATTACCTCTTAGTCCTACGATAATGGATCCTCTTGTGCTACACTTCTCTCTTCTCATCTTCTGCCTTCTATTCCGCACAATTCTTTTGTTTTTAACTCTTTTTTAGTACATAACTTATTAGACACTTATATGTTACTTGATCATCAAGCTTCGACGTTGGTATTATGTGGATGTTTGTTTCATTCATTTCTGTGTTTTTTCAATACAAATTTTGGTGTTTATTAAAAACTTCCACACACTTGAGTTTTTTCCGGTTCATCTCTGTATTGTCATCTTATAAAGTCTCTTTCCTGTTTGCATAATGAATACTGAATGTAAATATGGATGTTTGTAGTTTAGACTTACATCTTTATTGAGTATAAGTTGATATATTCATACCCTTAAGAGAATACCAAGTATGTTAGGATATTCCTCATCGTGCATGTAATACTTTATTTTCCATGGAATATTTTTTTATAGCTATGGGACTTGTTAACTCTGAACTAAACACACAGGAAAATTTTCCCTGGTGTTTGCCCCCACCGACTTAGGTGGTTTGCGTACCGGGTTTTAATATATATATATATATGTAGAGTTTTGTTCAAATAAAAAGTACTTCCTAGTTGAAAAATAAGAACTAATCATGTTCATTGAATTGAAAAAATGGATGGAAGAGATCAAATTTGAAGTTGGAAACACGGTGGCATTTTGGTAATTATGAAGAATTTTAATAGAAATATTGTGATAAATGTGTATCCGCATAGTCAAAAAGTCATGCAGAGCACAAAAGTGCAACAAAATACAAAATAAAAAGTGCACACGTTAGAAAATTTTGACAATCTTTTTTAACACTCTGCACTTTTCATAATTAATTATCCACTTTGTGGTATAAACATTTGCACTTTGTAGTATAAACATTTGCACATTTTTTGAAAATGTCCCTTGTGATTAAACCCTTAATGCCTTTTTTCTGAGGAGAAGACATTATTATCTACATGTGAGGGAATTATTAATCAAGGCGTACTGAGTATGTTTTTACTTGGACTGAAATTTTCCAATCTGAACTGGTCGGGTCTGGTATGATAAATGTTTGGTCTCTGTGTATTTTATAACTGTCCAAGTCTAAGTCTGGTCTTATCTGGTTTGGTCTGGTCTGGTCTGGTCTGCCAATGAAGACAGTCCAAGTAAAAACATCCTAATATCCATCAAATTTTTCTGTAATAATCTATCAATCTCAATTCAATATCCATTCAGCTTGATTTGCTCCTTGTATCATAAATTTCATATTTAAATGTTTGATAAAACTTGATTTTTTGTTCATATTTGCAGCGGGTAAACGGCAATATCAATAAAAGAATACATACACACAGTGCACCTAGTCATTAGGTATCTCCAAATGATTCTGAAAAGGGTTAATTAAAAAGACTTTAATAGTTCCTTATAGTCTACTCAAATTTAGATTTGACTGGGTCTCTGATTGATCAAATATTGACGTCAGGATATGATTTATACTTATGTAGAGATTTGTTAAGAGTATAAAGGTCTTAAATTTAAATTCGACTGTAGTGACGAGGCAGAATTTTGAGCTTCAGCTAAGGGCATCTGTGAAGGAATTTGGTTAAAGCGGTGACTATATTTACTGAAGTTTGAAGGTTGCTTTTCAGGTCCTATTAAGATAATGTGTGATGATCAGTCAGCTACAGCTATTTTCAAGAATCCTAACCATCATGATAGGACAAAATTTATTGAGATGGATAGACACTTAATGGGGTAGAAGAAACAGATAGCAACCTCATGTCACTTAAGCATGTCTCCTCTCGGTTGCAAGTAGCAAACAACCTCACCAAGGCCATTGCCTATACTAACTTCGGTCCTGCTCAGGAATTCAATCTAACCAAATTTAGGGGATAGTTATTTTCCTATGATTGTGGGATTGCCGATCTGGTTTCAGGGCTTTGATATGTATATTGTATAGAGCTGTGATTATCATCCTCATACAACAGTGATTGTCTTTCTTTAGAAAGCGTTAATGACATACATATTATTACTTGTATCAACCTTGCAATTCAGCCACTGGTTTTATCACAGGAGCTGCTGTACCTTTATGGATTCGTGATGGAAGATAATCCAGATGACTATCTCATGGTAATCCTATACAACTGATCGAAGCCTCCCAAGTCTGCTTTATTTTAGAAAAGTTTTTATTAAATTTAATAAGGTTTCAGTGAAAAGGAAACTGGTTTTAGATCTAATTGGTTTTACATTATAGGTTCATTACCCTGTGGAGGCTATTCAGGGCATCAATTTTTCTGAGTCCAAATCGCAGCTCCTTCAAGCACAGGCAATGAATGTTTTGTTTCTGTTATTGCCATGATGTTTTTTTACAAAATGAAAATGTGTATTCTAACATTTTCAAACTATGTAGTTTTATTTTGTGTGAGCTTGCCAGCATTATGATGCCATAACTATATACCCTTTTCTCTTCTTCTCCATCCTCTAACCCTTTTTGTGCATCATAATGTAGTAACACAACTCAATTTGTACTTGCAGAAAGCTGAGATGAGGTGTTTGTTACCAAGAAGTTTGTTGAAAGAAGGATTCTTTCCTCCATGTACGCCTCAAATAGAGATGAGTGATAAACACTCCAGTAATCACATGAAAAACTATAGTTGGAGCGGTGAGCGCAAGCTGCCCTCTTACTCAAATAGGCTTGTTTTTCCCGAGGATTTTTTGAGTACCTTGAGAACAATAGCAATGAGAGAAGATGAACTGTTCAAGGTCACAACATTACTCAGTGAGGTTTTTCTCTCTCTGCATTGCTCTTAATTCATTGCTGTTGCAAAAGAAAAAGGAGCGCATAAAGTACTGCTAAAAGGAAACGATTCCTCTACCACGAGGGGCGTTAGCTATGATGATCCCTTGGGAAATGATTTGATTTTGTTCAAATTTGATGGGAGGCTTTTCTATTGATTAATAAGTGTGCATTTGATGTTTAGTTTCTTTTAAGTGGACTGCTGTTTCACTATAAGAACAATTGTGACATCTAGTTACCTGGTTGTGTTTAGTTGTTAATTAATCAAGTACTTATTTCTTACAAAGCTTGTTGCACCTGAAAGCCAACGGCAACCAACTGATATCGAAGTTCGAGCAGCCATTTGGGAAGCATGCGGCGATTCTGGAGCCTTGCAAATGCTTGTTGATCTGCTTAATATGAAGTAATAATCAGCATGTTTTTGAAACTACATCAATGCTTGCCGGCTATCATTTTATTCCTACGACAGTACATACACGTACAAGTATATGGTACCGAGTGAAACATAAATATATAATTATGAATTTAACCTGGTCAACTGGTAAAAGAATGGATATTTTTACATATATACCTCTCTTTCAACTTGATGAATCTCGCTATGCAAGGATGATGGATCTTGAAGAGGGTTCTGGGACAGAGGAGAATGACACCAAACTACTTTCTAAAGACTTCTTCATAGATGCTGTGGAGCACAAAAGGTATGTTGCATATAAGTTTTCTCTCTCTCTAAATTTTTCTCAGGGCACCTGTCTCAAGATTCATTTCCATTTTCTCCCAAGACATTTAATCCCCATTCCTTTCAAAATGGATCCTCTTGCAGCAAATACGATAACAATGACACCAAGGAGAACTTTTTGAGCAGAAACAAGTGGTGTAGCATAATATACCGACAAGGGCAGAAGCAACTCACCCGCCTTTTCCTCAAGGAAGCAGAGCATGCTCTTCAATTAGCATTGCTGGAGGATAACCAGAATTAGTGAGTTGTCTTAATATGACATATTTGGTGATGACAGTTTGCTGTGATTTGTTCCTACCTGCAATCGTAGTTCACTGGTCATTGGGTGTGGAAGTAAACAAGACCCCTGAACCACGTAGTTTATCGGTTTCAGATTTTAGGACTACATGTATGGTTTTCTTCTCACAGATGTTTTTGAATGCATCAGCCATTTGAGGACAATCTATTTCACTGACTATTAATGCTTAATAGTGTGTGATTGTTGGATTTGTTGGGTCATATATGTTTTTTCCTTTATTGTTCATTAATTTAATTTTCCCAGTGTATTTGAGGTTGTAATGGATTTCAAGCTTCATTGTTCATCTGTTCATAATGATAGGGATCAACCTATTAGACTAATAAATAGAAGAGTTAGTTGTAGTTATATTTTTGTTATTAACTAATAACTAGAGTCGGTTGTACTGGAAGTCTATAAATAGAATAGTCTGGGAAGGAGAGGGCTGGCGGTTTTGGACTATTGTCTTGGGACTGGGAAGTTAGAGGTCTATCTCTTTATTTTGGGGGCTTCGGCCATTGTTCTGGTTGATCTTCAATAAAGTATGCAATTGTTCTTGATATTAATTCTGTAATTTTGGATATATCTGGATTGTTCTATCACATAACTTCATATGCTGTCTTATATTCAATTTTTTAGAGTTATTGGGGCCTTTGAACCTAAACATGTGTAATGGTGTGCTTTGAGTGGAAATAGGGATGGACCCAGTCTGGTCCTGAACTGGGTCCGATACTCTGCAGGACCGGAGCGGGTCCATAGAATTGGTCCCGGTGCAAGACCGGGTACCTGACCGGGTATTCGACGGTCTCGGACCCGGATATCAACTTTAGAGATCGGACCGGGCAGACCTGGTTCCGATCTCAACGTTCATTTTCATAATTTCATCTACTCTTCTATTCTCCTACTCTCATCTACTCTAAATTTCTAATTCTCTCTATTCTCAATTATATCTTCATACTCATAATTATAAATAAAGTGTATTTATATCTAATACCTATTTTTACATTCGTATAGAATATTAGAATATGTAAAATTATAGTTACAAGCCTACAAGCATAGAAAGTTAGAAAGATATAATATCTAGTTATATTTAAATATATTGTACACAATCTTATTTAAATATATAATATTAAGTATAGAGTAGTGATCCCGTATTCCCGTTACGCTGGTCTCACAAGTTCGGATGAGATCATTTTGGGCCCTTCCCGGTGGAATTTTCTGATAAAATATTTTGAGCATGTTTTTCATTAAATCTAATTTATGTACACCAAATTTCAACTAAATATTCATTTGGGTCTTTGGGAAGACATTTAAATAAATTATTTACAAACACAACGCGTTATATATATATATATATATATATATATATATATATATATATATATATATATATATATATATATATATATATATAGAATAAAGATCAAATGAGAACGGTGCTTAACGTGAGAACCCGTGAGAACCCCTGAGAATGGTGATATTTTTGGCTGAAATTTTTTGTGTATGTTCCTCATCAAATCTAGTTCATCCATACCAAATTTGAACAAAAAATTCAATCGGGAAGGTCGTCAAATGATTTTTGAAAGAAAACTGGTCCGGAACATACATATAAAACACAATTTTCTTTCAAAAAATCATTTGACGACCTTCCCAAATGAATTTTTTGCTCAAATTTGGTATGGATGAACTATACTTGATGAGGAACATACACAAAAAATTTCAGCTAAAAATACCACCGGTTCTAAGGGTTCTCATGAGTTCTCATTTTAAGAGGGGTTCTCACTAGAACCCTCCCATGTATATATATATATATATATATATATATATATATATAACAACACAATATTTTTCATTTCACATTTGATTGACTTCTCGATTGAATCTTTAGTTGAAATTTGGTGGGCATAAACGAGGTTTGACGAAGAACATTAAAAAAAATTCATCAAAAAGTTCCAGCGGGAAGAGCCCCAAATGGCCTCGTCCGGATGGCGAGTCTCGTCAAACCGGTCTGATATGAACTGCCCTCGTTAAGTATATAATATATATATATATATATATGAAAGTATTAATTACAATTATACTACTCATCTTATAGTAGTATAGTTATATACTATATACTATTAATATTATATATATATATATATCCAATATACTAGTCACATTTTAATATTTAATACATTTTAATATTACCCACATTATCATATTAGCCGCATTATCATATTAGCCACATTTTCATATTAGTTACATTAACCTATTAATATTAGTTATATTTTAGTATTAGTCCTATTTTAATATTTGTTACATTTTAACATGTTGGGCGCTAAAAACTATGTTGAGAAGCTTATTTGCTTCCACGATTGGTTGAAAAGCCGCCATAGAACTCAAGAAGTTAACATAGCACCACCCCGCCATGGAGGAAACGACAACTGACGCCAGAAGCGGGAGTTTCGACTAATATGAAGTTTATGTAATGTAACTATTCTCAATTGGAATTACATAAGTCCAAGTCAATGTAATGTTTCAAAGAAATGTACATATCATTTTTAATGTGTAACATTTTGTGTTACTAATAATATAATAAATAAAATAAAAAACTAACAATGCCCGAATCGGCCCAAGACTGGATCCGGACCAGCAGGGTACTCGGGACCGGACCGGGACCCGTATTATTCGGTTCGGTACCCGGATTCCATATGTTGGAACCGGGTCCGGGCCGGGATCGGATCCATCCCTAAGTGGAAACATTTCTCTAGCTCTACAACACGCTTGACAAAGTGGAACCATACACATGAATTATCGTTATTGTTATATATGATGGATTGGAATATTGGATGAGTGTGATTTTGTTCACCCATTTTTGGAGGGTGATGTTCACCCCTCTCTAGTTACTCATCGTGTGATATGCCAACTCATTTTTAATAATTATTATAGCCTTTTCATTTTTTGTCCATTTTTTTTAAAAGTATATCATTCTTTTTTTTATCTATCCAATTATATCAATACTAAATATTTTTTTTAAAGACCCTCATGTTGTCTTAATATCTGGCTATTTTATATGGAGTATGTATTTTGTAGCTTGTCATATGCGTTTTGTTGTTTATTACTTATCAATAGTAACTTGTGTTTTTATATAACCGAAAACTTTATTGCGGAAGACCTAACGTTTTTATCTAGGGTTTTTTGGCTGGTCGACGGTGTCGAAATCCAACGAAGCAATGTACCAGGTTTGGCAGGACACATGTTTAGCGATCCAGTGAAAGGAGTGAAGACAACGTACGGCTGGGCGACTAAGGCAGAACCAGGTGGCGCAACAACAGATCTGTCTACGAGACGACGCAAGGGTTTAGAACTTAATTTCTTCGGTGGCGGTGCCTATCGGTGGTCTAGGGGTGGAATCGTGTTGTGGTGCAGGAGAAAGTGGCAGCGAGAAACTCGACCAATCATGAGGAAGGTGGAAGATTGATTAGAAAAACTTAAGGCCTGTGGTGGTGATCTTATATGGGCGAACCAGATTCAGGGATCGAGTGGAAGGTCTTGCTTGTTGTGACATGGAGAATCCCAGATTCAGGTGATGGATGAAGAAGACGAAGAGATGATGATTTGTCCCCCTCCAGAACCGCCGCCATGGAGGGGGTTCTATTTTCTATTTTGTTATTTTCAGTCCAGACTGCTTTACTATTTTTAATTTGTTGTTTTTATGACAAACAATAATCGGGGTTGGTTGGTGTTTTCGTTTATTTTAGTTGATATATTTCCGTTTGGAGGCAATCAGGCTGATTCAACCGCTAATAGTCTCGAAGCTCTCACATTTTCAACGATGAATCATTGAATCTCGCTCTTCTTGAGGTGGACTATTCTATGTTTGATCTAGAAGTGAAGGGGCCGTTGGGCTTTTGGTCATTATGGGTTATAGGGAGGTCAAGATTTCTGGATACTGTTGATTGTTTAATTTTTTCTTATTAACTTGCGATTACTCGCGCATGGTGCGAGAGTGTTTGCCTAATACGAGTATTAAAATAATGTTATATTTTGTAAAAAATGTATTACAAGCCAAATTGTTATGAGAGTTTTGTAAATAGTTAATCAAATACTTCGTATCATATATATTTTAAAAATTGTGGGAATAATTATATTCCATGTCAACCAATTATTGTGTGGAAAATATGTGATTATGTGATTTGTACGAAGTATGTCTTTTATGTTTCAATAGACTCCCCAGTCCCATAAATTTTGGTGAAGTTTGACTTGCATTTAAAAGAATAAAGTAATAACTTTATGATTGAGATTTGTATATCGGAGAAAGAAATATCTTTAACCACATATTTATTACTTTAAATGGGAATGAGGGAGTATGAAATACTTAGAAATGAGAATAGTTTCTGAGTATCCAACACAATATATGGGTTGTTTACCTCTTAAGCGTTGAACTAAATAGAGCTAATTGAACTAAATAGACCTACAAATTAAATTAAGTGAAGAACATAAATTAAAGGTTGTTAATGGTATGTTATTATATTTTGTGTTGACGAGAGAAGAAAAATATTGTGCAACATTAAAGAAATTTAAAAAATTGTGAATGTTAATTTGTTATATTGTTGTGCATAATTTTAGCAAGCTTATTTTGCATTTTATAAGTTAGTGAAAGTTTAATACTCTATAGCATTGATTGAGCGAGCAGATGAAGCATCAATTCTTTAAAGTTTTTTTTTTTTTTTTTTTTTTTTTTTTGCGTTTATTTGGTCTGAGGAGATGTGAGGCTAATAATTTCAACATTCACTTAACGGTGTTAAAAGTGTAGATGACATCCAAGGGTAAAGAAGCCAAGTGAAAAAATAGAGCTCCACTTTTTAATAAGAATGTACAACATCATATGCATATAGTGTATTGACATAAATCAAAGTGCCAACCTTGATTCACAAATTATATTGTTGTTAGATTAGATATAAGCTTTTTCCTGTTAAAAAAACTAAAACTTATATTAGGAGTGAGCATAAAAATCGAACCGACATACTTGTACCGACCCTAGTTAGTTAAATACGGTACGGGAATTAAACGAGGTTTAATACGTACACGTTTTATTCGGTAACATGAAAGAAAAAGACGATCAAAAATTCGTTGAAAAAAACGTTGACTTTAAAAAAACATGTAAATACGTATACGTGTATAATACGTTATCTACTACAAAAATTCGGACAAAAAATACGGGTATTATTTTGAACATCTAAATGATATATTTCATAAAATAACATATATAGTAAAAAGGAAATAAAAGTATACACATATTCAAGTAGCAAATCTCATTACTACATACAAGAATAGTTCATAATTGCATAAGCCGATGACA